GGTGCATGTGCCCCTTCGAAACAGCACACCTGTATCCCTTGGATAAATGCCTAGTAGGGCAATTGCTGGGTCATAGGGTAGTTCTATTTTTAGTTTTTTTGAGGAACCTCCATACTGTTTTCCAGAGTGGCTGCACCACCTTGCATTCCCACCAGGAATGCAAAGAGATGCTCTTTCTCTCCATCCTCGCCAGCATCTGTTGTTGCCTGAGTGGTTAATGTTAGCCGTTCTGACAGGTGTGAGGTGGTATCTCATTGTGGTTTTGATTTGTATTTCCCTGATGATGAGTGATGTGGAGCATTTTCTCATGTGTCAACCATCTGGATGTCTTCTTTGGAGAAGTGTCTATTCATGTCTTTTGCCTATTTCTTCACTGGATTATTTGTTTTTTGGGCGTTGAGTTTGATAAGTTCTTTAAAGATTTTGGATACTAACCCTTTATCTGATACGTCATTTGCAAATATCTTCTCCAATTCTGTCAGTTGCCTTTTAGTTTTGCTGATTGTTTCCTTCGCTGTGCAGAAGCTTTTTATTTCGATGAGGTCCCAATAGTTCGTTTTTGCTTTTGTTTCCCTTGCGTCCGGAGACGTGTTGAGTAAGAAGTTGCTGCGGCCAAGATCAAAGAGGTTTTTGCCTGCTTTCTCCCCGAGGCTTTTGATGGCTTCCTGTCTTCCATTTAGGTCTTTCATCCATTTTGAGTTTATTTTTGTGTATGGTGTAAGAAAGTGGTCCAGGTAAATTCTTCTGTATGTCGCTGTCCAGTTTTCCCAGCACCACTTGCTGAAGAGACTGTCTTTATTCCATTGGACATTCTTTCCTGCTTGGTCAAAGATTAATTGGCCATACGTTTGTGGGTCCATTTCTGGGTTCTCTATTCTGTTCCATTGATCTGAGTGTCTGTTCTTGTGCCAGTACCATACTGACTTGATGATTACAGCTTTGTAGTATAGCTTAAAGTCTGGGATTATGATGCTTCCTACTTTGGTTTTCTTTTTCAAGATCGCTTTGGCTATTCAGGGTCTTTTCTGGTTCCATACAAATTTTAGGATTATTTGTTCTAGCTCTGTGAAGAATGCTGGTGTTACTTTGATAGGGATTGCGTTGAATATGTAGACTGATTTGGGTAGTATCGACATTTTAACAATATTTGTTCTTCCTATCCAGGAGCATGTAATCTTTGTCCATTTTTCTGTGTCTTCTTCAATTTCTTTCATAAGCGTTCTATAGTTTTCAGTGTATAGATTTTTCACCTCTTTGGTTAGATTTATTTCTAGGTATTTTATGGGTTTTGATGCAATTATAAATGGGATCAATTGCTTGATTTCTCTTTCTGTTGCTTCATTGTTGGTGAATAGGAATGCAACTGATTCGTGTGCATTGATTTTATATGCTGCAACTTTGCTGAATTCATGAATCAGTTCTAGCAGTTTTTTGGTGGACTCTTTAGGGTTTTCCATATAGAGTATCATGTCATCTGCGAAGAGTGAAAGTTTCACCTCCTCCTGGCCGATTTGGATGCCTTTTATTTCCTTGTGTTGTCTGATTGCAGAGGCTAAGACTTCCAATACTATGTTGAATAACAGTGGTGAGAGCGGACATCCCTGTCTTGTTCCTGACCTTAGGGGGAAAGGTCTCAGTTTTCCCCCATTGAGGATGATATTTGCGTTGGGTCTTTCATATATGGCTTTTATGATTTCCAGGTATGCTCCATCCCTACTTTCTTGAGGGTTTTTATCAAGAAAGGATGCTGTATTTTGTCAAATGCTTTCTCTGCATCTATTGAGAGGATCATATGGTTCTTGTCCTTTCTTTTATTGATGCAATGAATCACGTTAATTGTTTTGCAGATATTGAACCAGCCCTGTATCCCAGTTATAAATCCCACTTGGTCATGGTAATTTTTTTAATGTATTGTTGGATCCGATTGGTTAATATCTTTTTGAGGATTTTTGCATCCATGTTCATCAGGGAAATTGGTCTATAGTTCTCCTTTTTAGTGGGGTCTCTGTCTGGTTTTGGAATCAAGGTAATGCTGGTTTCATAGAAGGAGTTTGGAAGTTTTCCTCCCATTTCTATTTTTTGAAACAGCTTCGAGCAAATAGGTGTTAACTCTTCCTTAAATGTTTGGTAGAATTCCCCTGGAAAGCCATCTGGTCCTGGACTCTTGTTTTTTGGCAGATTTTTGATTACTGATTCGATTTCCTTACTGGTTATGGTTCTGTTCAAATTTTCTTCCTTCCTGTTTCAGTTTTGGTGGTGTATATGTTTCTAGGAATTTATCCATTTCTTTCAGATTGCCCATTTTATTGGCATATAATTGTTCATAATATTCTCTTATTATTTTTATTTCTGCTGTGTTGGTTGTGATCTCTCCTCTTTCAAATTCTTGATTTCATTTATTTGGGTCCTTTCCTTTTTCTTTTTGATTAAACTGGCTAATGGTTTATCAATTTTGTTAATTCTTTCAAAGAACCAGCTTCTGGTTTCATTGATCTGTTCTACTGTTTTTTCGGTTTCAATAGCATTGATTTCTGCTCTAATCTTTCTTATTTCCTGTCTTCTACTGGCTTTGGGTTTTATTTGCTGTTCTTTTTACAGCTCCTTAAGGCATAAGGTTAGGTTGTGTATCCGAGATCTTTCTTCTTTAGGAAGACCTGGATTGCTATATACTTTCCTCTTATGACTGCCTTTTTGTGTCCCAGAGGTTTTGGGTTGTGGTGTTATCATTTTCATTGGCTTCCATGTGCTTTTTAATTTCCTCTTTACCTTCTTGGTTAGCCCATTCATTCTGTAGTAGGATGTTCTTCAGTCTCCAAGTATTTGTTATCTTTCCAAATTTTTTCTTGTGGTTGATTTCAAGTTTCATAGTATTGTGGTCTGAAAATATGCACAGTATGATCTTGATCTTTTTGTACTTGCTGAGGGCTGATTTGTGTCCCAGTATGTGGTCTATTCTGGAGAACATTCCACATGCGCTGGAGAAGAATATGTATTCTGCTTTAGGATGAAATGTTCTGAATATATCTGTTAAGTCCATGTGGTCAGTGTGTTATTCAAAGCCATTGTTTCCTTGTTGATTTTTTTTATTAGATCTGTCCAATGTGAATGGGTGTAGAAGTCTCCTACTATTATGGTATTACTGTCAATGAGTTTCTTTATGTTTGTGATTAACTGATTTATGTATTTGGGTGCTTCCACATTTGGCACATAAATGTTCACCATTATTAGGTCTTCTTGGTGGATAGACCCCTTGATTATGATATAATGCCCTTATGTATCTCTTGATACAGTCTTTATTTTAAAGTCTAGATTGTGTGATATCAGTATAGCTACTCCAGCTTTCTTTTGTTGACCATTAGCAAGATAGATGGTTCTCCATCCCCTTATTTTCAATCTGAAGGTGTCTTTAGGTCTGAAGTGGGTCTCTTGTAAACAGCATATAGATGGATCTTGTTTTCTTATCTGTTCTGTTACCCTATGTCTTTTGATTGGAGCATTGAGTCCATTGACGTTTAGAGTGAGTACTGACAGATATGAATTTATTGCCATTCTGCTGCTTGTAGAGTTGGAGTTTCTGGTAGTGTTCTCTGGTCCTTTATAATTTTTGTTACTTTTGGTATTTGTTTATTTATTTATATTTTCATCTTTTCTCCCCTCAGTCCCCCTTAAAATTTCTTGCACGGCTGGTTTAGTGGTCACAAACTCCTTTAATTTGGGGAAAACTTTTTATCTCTCCTTCTATTTTGAATGACAGCCTTGCTGGATAAAGAATTCTTGGCTGTATATTTTTCTGATTCAGCACATTGAATATACCCTGCCACTCCTTTCTGGCCTGCCACGTTTCTGTGGATAGGTCTGCTGCAAACCTGATCTGTTTTCCCTTGTAGGTTAAGGACTTTTTTTCCCTTGCTGCTTTCAGGATTCTCTCCTTGCCTGAGTGTTTTGGGAATTTGACTATGATATGCCTTGTTGATGGTAGGTTTTTGTTGAATCTAATGGGAGTCCTCTCTGCTTCCTGGATTTTGATGTCTGTGTCTTTCCCCAGGTTAAGAAAGTTTTCCGCTATGATTTGCTCACATAACCCTTCTACCCCTATTTCTCTCTCTTCCTCTTCTGGGATCCTTATGATTCTGACGTTCCTTTTTAATGAGTCACTGATTTCTCTCCTTTTTAAATCGTACTCTTTTGCCTTAATCTCCCTCTTTTTTTCTGTTTCATTATTCTCTGTTGGTCCTCTATATCGCTGATTATCTGTTCTGGCTCATCCATCCTTGCCACCACAGCATCCATCCATGATTGCAGCTCAGTTATAGCATTTTTTATTTCACCCAGGCTAGCTTTTGCTTCTTTTATCTCCACAGAAAGGGATTCTAATCTATTTTCAACTCCAGCTAGTATTCTTATTATCGTGATTCTAAATTCTGGTTCAGGTATCTCGCTTGTATCTGTGTTGGTTAAGTCTCTGGCTGTCGTTTCTTCCTGCTCTTTCTTTTGGGGTGAATTCCTTCATTTTATCATATTGAAGGGAGAGAAGGAATTAATGAGGTAGAAAAATTAAAATAAATAAAAATTAAAAATATTAAAATTAAAAAATTACACACACACACACACACACACACACAATAAATGATGCTAGATCCTAGGTGTGTTTTGGTCTGGATGTTGAAAGTGGCTTGATAGATTAGAGAAAAAAGGGGAGAAAAAGAAAAAAAAAGGAAATCGTTTGAAAATTTGAAAAAATGAATACACAGAAGTAGACTAAAATGAAATGATGGAAGTAAAATAGAATTTTAAAAGATTTACCCAAAAGTAAAAAGTATAGTAGAAAAAATATTTTAATAAAATTTGAAAATAAAAATGAATTTTTTCTCTTTCTATAAGAAAAAGAGAGGAGGAAAAAAAAGAAAATTGAATAGTTGGGCTGGTTAACAGACTGAAATACTACTGAAATTACTTCGTTTTCCCCTGGAAGTCAAACTATGAAGTGCTTTATAGTCCATAAACTAAGGCGGTGAGACTTGTGTTCTTGAAGAGTGAGGTTGGCCCCGTTGGATAGGGTTTAGTGTAATGGTTCCGTTCTCCACTAGATGGCACTGCTAAGCCTACTGGGGGGATTGTTGATGCGTTCGTAGGTGCATGAGCGCATGCGCAGGAGCGGTGAAAATGGAGTCACCCAGCTACCCAGTCTCTAGTATCGGACCTCTGTTCTCCCTGATCAGCAATCACGCACCCATTCTTCATCTTCAGCTTCTGTCCACTGCCTGCTTCCACACTGTCCGTGATCAAGCCCCACGCAGTACCTCTCTCCCGAGTTTTGTCTCAGATGTGACTGTTTTCCCGGGGGGGGGCCCCCCCCCCCCACTTCTGAGGGACTGGGGCTTTGACCCATTCTGCCCCTCTGCTGAGGGTCTCACGGAGCAACAGCTGAAAGCCGGCTGCACCCAGGAACGTTTGTGGGACCTTGCTGCTGCGATGCCTGGAGACTGCAGGCAGGTACCAGCCTGCCCCAGAAAAAGTTCGCAAGCAGCGTTTCAGGGATTATGGAAAATCACAACACATCTGGCACTAAGCTTCACCCCCAATGGCCTCGATCCAGCACCAGCAAATGTGGCCGTTCTCTGGGGTGTGCTGGGCACAGGTGGCCTCACAGCCTCTACCAAATGTCCCCCCAGCAATGGAACTGCTTCTCCCCGTGTGGCCCAAGAACCTTCCAGACCCCACTCTGCTCCTGGAGATTTGCCCTTCTCACCAGGGCACCGCCAGGTATCAAGCTGCAGAGTTTCCGACTCTGCACTCCCCATTTACGGTCGTAATGGAACTTAAGCCCTCTCCTTTCTCCCTTTTTAGTTTAGTCCCTGTGGCTGTTTCCAATTTTCCACTGTCTCTCCAGCTGCTTTTGGGGAGGGGTGCTTTTCTTTTAATCTCCCCCCCATCTCCATCCTCTCTCCTGACACAAAAGCAGCTCCCTGTCCTCCGCTGCTTCTCTCTCCCCAAGTTCACCTCTCTGCCATGTACCTGCTGAATTCTGTGGTTCACGTTGTGCAGATTGTTGTGTTAATCCTCAGATCAGTTTTCTAGGTGTGCAGGATGGTTTAGTGTTGGGCTGACTGTATTTCATGGGTGCAAGACGCACAAAAAACTTCCATGCTGTTCCGCCATCTTGGGTCCTCTCCAGATTTTTTTTTTTTTTTTTTTTTTTTTTAAGGCTTTGGTTTCTTTTAATTCCAGTTTAGTGAACATACAGTGTTAAAGGCTTTGGTTTCAAAGTACTCACTACAAAGGTTATACTGATACACTCTTACTAAAGATAAAAAAAGATTTTCAAGTTTTCCCTGCTCACTGCTGAATTTATTTTTAAAAAGTGGTGGGCGGGGGGGGGGGGTTGGGGTCTGTCTGTATCAGTCAGAAAAATCTGTGGCTGACTTACTGGCCAGCTCACCTTCAGCCATTGCCAGCCTCTTCTCCTTTGGCCACTTCTATTATAAAGGCTACTTGCTTTGTTTGCTTCTCACACACATTTCTGGAAGACAGGATAGAAGCACAAATGTGGTGAAAGCTTCTGGAAAAGCTTTTACTCTCCTGACAGAAAGGACAGATAAACCAGGAACTGCCCCTTCCCAGCTCTGGATGTAAACATACATTCTGGACCTGCAACAGCCATACTGTAGCATAAGGAAAAGGCCAAAAAACCCACTTGTTCTGACCAATACCAGCAACAGATGAAGAGTAGGGTTGCTAAGCAGCCATCTGGAGGAAAGTCTTTGGTAGAGCTTGACATCAATTTAAATATATTTAGAAACTATACGTGAGAAAATGTATTGAAATATGTTTAAAAGTCACTTTCAAAAAATTTCTGCATCTTGGGGTTATAATGCAAATGAAGTTTTCCTATATAACCAGTTGAACTAAATTAACAGAGCAATCTGTATGCCTGTCAAAATGGTGATACCATGTTCAAAACCAATTACTCCTCACCTGCCCCGCATTGTCCTAACCATAGCTATTACTATCAATAGGGGTACAAAGACACATAAACCAACTGATAAATTATATATTACATGTTTATTAAGGGCACAACTTTTATGTAAAATTTACATTTTATGAAAAAATCAAAAATATTTACAAAATTGTGTAAGATAGATTTGCATTGTTCTAATTACAACTCAAAGTAGTAAATAACATTTCTTAAAAACTCACATTTGTTAGAGTTCTTTGTTTACAAATTCTTGGTTAAAGAGGCAGCTACAAAGTTTATCACTATACAGCAGCAAGAACCAGCTTGCTAAATACATTTCCCATTGAAAATCTACTGGTCTTTTTTACACCATTAGTGGATTTTTAAATGAAAAAAAAAATCAATATAAACTCATATGGCTTCAAAATTGTAGCCTGCGCCTAATACAAATGTAGGTATCGACACTTGGCATGAAGACTGTGGTAATCAGAAAGTGCAGAAGTTTAACCATTTTACTAATCTGTACATGTTTTAGGTAATACTTGATTCGAAACAAACCTGGTGAGTGTAACTGTGTCTGAAGTCCAGTAATAAAGTATTAACTGCCCACAGAAAGCAGTGTGATTGCAAAGCAGTTACATTTAAGATTCTAGTAAGGGATTGTAATTGGCATTTAAAAGAGCACAACATAAGAGTTAGAAATTCCCATTTTGCTATTTAGTGAAGATGAACATTTCAGCAAATTGTCTTAATATGCTGCTTTAGTCAAATCTAAATGTCAAATTGGGCTAATACTGAATATACTTAAAAAGCACATACTGTGTTCTATGTATTGCTAATAAGTAGATTTTCTGCTGTATTTAGTAGAACAAGATGTTACATAAATGTCTAGTAGTAGGGGTTTTAATGTTCTGTAAAGCTTAACAGAATAATTAGTGGTTTTATATAAATTATCATATATAACAATTTATCACTTCTACATAAAAGGCAGGACATTGGTATTTATAAATAAAATTCCCACTTGTAAATTATGAAACTGTCCAAAACATTTTAAGTCCTTCAATTAGGATTCGCTATAAAGTTAGGTTTTTTTACTATTTAATATTAGTAGTTCAAGAAATGCTTAACCCAATCCATCACTTCAAATCCTCTCCCAATTTCTAGCAGTTGGCAATTAACCAATAACATACAAATTGGTAACTGTCCCAATTGTTGAAATGAAAACAAACGGCAGTACTTCTCCAATGCCAAAACTAATCTTCTCTAAAATGTCTTCCTCGCAAAATACAAAACTCATGCCCCCAACACATTCATTAAATGTATAAATTTCCAAAGATAAACAGAATGAAAGGAAGTGTCAAATTGAGGATTAAAATAGCAGTTACCAAGTTACCTTTAGTTTTTCATATTGGTTTTATGATTTACATACTTAGGTGGAATATCTGAAGGTAACTTTTCTTCCCCTGTAAACATAGGCGATTAGGTGTATTTCTCTTTCTATCGGCTACAGTGTATCACTAAAGAAGTGAGCCAGGATTTTTAGATACAAATTAACCTTTAGTTACTCTGAATTCCCTTCCCAATTGAGGTCAAGATATTTACAAAATGGCAATTATCTTGTAAAAATGCTTGACCACTCTAACACTGAATAGAAGAGCCAGACTGTGAAGGGAAAAAAAGTGAGGCACATTAACGAACACAAACCTGGATAGGCACATTTCTGGCTTTTGTTATTGTTTTAAAAGGCACACATTATGCAATCCATATAAAAATAAATTAAATCTACAGCATTAATTCTTAAAAACAATCACAAATTCTATAAAGTTAACTAACTGCAGAAGTAAATTTCTCTGCCGTCTTTTGCAAGCTTATTTTAAAACACATTGCACTTGAGAATTAAAAAAATCATATAAAACACCATTTACACTTTATTAATGTTTCTATGAGATTCAAATTATACATTTTTTGCGTACACCTTGGACTCTGGTCTGATTACTTTATGGCACATAACTCAATTTGATTGAGTGTTCAGAATTAACGTTATCCAAACCTTAGAATTCACGTTCTGTCTGTCTCCATTCAATATCAAGCTTAGGAAATTTCAAACCTCTCTCTGACTCTAAAAATTTATGGAAAGCTGAATTATTTGGTGCTTGCTCTCCTGAAATTTTAGGTCTGATAATACACTATATAACTCAACATAGACACTGAAGACAATATGAAATTTCAGCCTAGGAAAACTTCATTTTACTGAGAATCTCTACAAATGTGCTTCTGGAATATTGCAGTTGATCATTAACAGCGATGAAAATCATTTCAGTGCTATTGCTTTTGATGACTCACTTCAAAAGTGCAATTTAATGTTTGTAATCAGTTCTCAAATGTGTGTACGTTCAAAGGACCTAATAGAAGCTAGAATCGTGTTGGAAAGAACAGACAATGCAGGATGTCAGACTTGTGCTTCTGTCTCGAGCCAACCCGTTTCCCAGGTCCATCAGCAATCTGCCAGGTATCGTCCTGAAAAACACCAAGCAGACCCATGCAATTACAATTTCAAATGAACTCAAAGGACGACATTTTCACTGTGGTTACAGACACAGAACCCTAGTTCCCATCTGCTGTTTATGATACATGAGAATCTGATCACAGGTGTCCATGTATACTGACCACAGTTATTCTCTCCCAGGTGTGTCTCTACCTGGCACTTTGTACCAAAGGTCGAAGAAGAAATTTTCCATGACTAAAGCAGTATAGTTGCTTAGTAGCACACTGTTAGAATGTTCCCATGTACACTAAAAACAAAATCTCTCAACTTACCAGTGGCAAACCGCTTCTTTACTAAGGAAAGCCTATAGCCAGTGCCTACAAGTTCAATATCTACTCCCGAGAGGGTACTTCCCTCGCTGAGGAACTGCACTGCAAGTGTTGTGGGTTTACTAGGTCCTTCTGAAAGATCAAATTTTGCTCTGAGGGACCCAGAACCTACAAGGAAAAGAATAAAGAACTTACCCAGGGCAACATAAAATTAACAGAAAAAACAAATAAGATAAACTATGTTCTATGCCAAATGCATAAAATGTATATAGTAAACACATCAATGTCCCGTGTCCAAATCAGACTTGATTCAAAGAATCTGAATTAAGTCGTCTTTTTTTAATTGATTTTTTTTTAATGTTTATTTATTTTTGAGAGAGACAGAGGATGAGTGGGGAGGGGCAGGGAGAGAGGGAGACGGAATCCAAAGCAGGCTCCAGGTTCTGAGTTGTCAGCACAGAGCCCAATGTAGGACTCAATCTCACCAACTGTAAGATCATGACCTGAGCCAAAGTGGGATGCTTAACTGAGCCACCTAAGCACCAGTGAATTAAAAGTACTCTTAATCCTTGCTTTTCTTTGACTTAAAACACCCCTGTAGATCTGTATTGAGATTCAACATGCTATTGACACATGTTGAAGTTAAAAAAAAAAAAAAAGTCAATGTGGGCAGTTCAGAGGAAAGCGCTTAGAGGAGTAGTGCGAGTAGGAATAAAGTCCAAAAACAATGATGACAGTCAACTACCATATTACAGGGATGGGAGAAGTAAAGAAGGAAAGACAGCTAAGATTAGGAAAGCTATATCAATATTATTATTTTCTATTCCCCTTCTTAAAATTTAACTTGCCTATCATGCCGAATACAGCTGACCTTTGAGCAACATGGGTTTGAACTCTGTGGGTTCACTTAAACAGAGACTTTTTTCATTCGGTGCAGTGCTTTTAAGTGTATTTTCTGTCTTTTCTGATTTTATTTCCTTTTATCTAGCTTATTTTAACAGTACAGTATATAACACATAAAACCTACAAAATACCTGTTCATTGACTGTTTATGTTACCGGTAGAGCTTCTGGGTAACAGTAGGCTGTTAGTAATTAAGTTTGGGGGGGGGGGCAAAGTTATACATGGATTTTTGACTACACAGGTCCACCAGGGTGAGTGGTGTGCGGGGGCTTGGCACTTCTAACCCCTGCATTGTTCAAGGGTCAACTAGATATTTGAGATGTCTTCTTTTCAGTCTAACCATTTATTCTACATACCTCAGTCTAACAGTATGCCAGAAACTGTAAAGCAAAAAATTGTGATGAATATGATAAATGCTACAAAAGTGCTCCGAATTGCTATGGGCACAAAAGCACATAAAATGATGGTGGAGAGGACAGTGTGAATTGCAGGCAGGGGTAACTACAGGTAGACAGGGGAGAGAATACAGTGCCTTTAAGGGAACTGCATGCATATCAGAAGACCTAGAGGACAGGATACAAGAGGGGGCAGAAGACTAGAATGGTAGGAAGGAACAAGCTCCAAATATCTTTACATGCCACGATAAAAAATAATCATAGGAAGTCACTAAAGATAAAGAAGACAAAAACAATTCAGATTAGGGTCTTAAAAGGGGACAGAGGTACAAGGTGCCAGGTAGAGAAACCAACTGAAAGTCAATAAAATAGTGTAGGATTCTAGGTGACATTTGAAGTGGATCTCAATCAGGCTAAGGGAAAGGAAAGAAGAAAATGCATTTGAAAAATATTTCAGAGTTGGAATCGAGAGGGGGAAAGGAGGAGGAGTCTCAGAGTGTGCCCAGGTTTCCAGTCAAGGAAAACAGACAACCGCTAGGTAGCAGGAGCAATATTCTAGGATACACAGAAGTAGAACAGCACAGCATAACCCTGATCCATCCTGCACCACTGTGCCTCATGGCACAGATTGGCTGGGAGGATGAAATGCTGCCTAATTCTTAACCACCGTCCAAGCCCAAGTCCTCCTTAGACTTGCACAATTCTCTTGATAGGCAATTCAATTCTGTGAAAGTTCTACAGGCCAAGAGCAGCCACCTTGGCAAATCTTAAACTTGAAAATTATTTCCTGTCCCTCTTCTGGGCATAAAGCCAGAGCAGGAACGATTTCTATTGTACAGTATCCTAATTTGTATATTTCTTTTTAAAGGTTAACCAAATCAGAACATTTATAGTATTTTTCCATTTCCTCACATAGATATCCTGATTCCTGAACAGCAGAGGAAAAGTATTCATCTGATTAGAAAATTTGTACCCTGTTTTTGAGGAAACAATTTCTCTTGTTAGTACTTACAATAGTATAGTTTCATTAAGTAGGGGGAAATATGTATTCTCATTTTCCTGCTAGCTGGTTACGTAAGCCCTCAATTCAAACAGGATTTCTGGTTTACTTCCAAATTTAACTAGGAATTTCAGTTTTGTCCCCCCAGAAGCGATACAGCTCAAGCAGAAGTCAGCACCTTTGGCACATGAAAATAGGCAACAAAGGAACTGTAGATCAGCTTGGTTATTTCACCAAATAGGTGGTTCTCTAGTAAAAGAGTGATTCAGCATGACATGTATAAATAGCCACTATAGATATATTCCTGCTACTTGATACAGAAATACATAGGAGAAATACCAGGGATATGATTTATGCTTTGATCACATTATGCTTAAAGTGTTCAAAGAGAAAAAGCTAAGCAAAATTTGAAAAGCTAAAAAAAAAAAAAGTCCTACTTAGTAATAGGAAAAGTTATTGGAGGTTAAGTAGGCATCCAAAAAAGAGCAAGAGAATTCTCTTATTTTTTAAAAAAATTTTTTTAATGTTTATTTTTGACAGAGAGAGAGAGAAAAAGCATGAGCAGGGGAGGGGCAGAGAGCAAGGGAGACACAGAATCCGAAGCAGGCTCCAGGCTCTGAGCTGTCAGCACAGAGTCCGATGCGGGGCTCAAACTCAGACTGCGAGATCATAACCTGAGCTGAAGTCAGACGCTCAACCGACTGAGCACCCCAGGTGCCCCAGGAGAATTCTCTTAAGAGAAAATAGGAATAATTAATGTTAAAAACTTGACTGTCCTGGAAATTACATTCTAAACTGAGTTAGGGAAGACAAGACAGAGACCAGCCAACAGAGATTTTTCCTTTGCCTTGTGAGCACAAACAGATACAGACTTGGTGGGAGTAAGCAATTAACTTGTTTCTTCTTAAAATAATTAGCAGAGAAGTAAAGGCTGTTGATGGTTGGTTTTACTAAGGAGAAATGACCAGGAAAAGTTCTCTTGGAAAGTGAAGTAGGCAAACAAAGGAGCTTTTGAAAGCCTGCAAGCTTCTACATGATTTCTGGGAGGACAGGAGGACCCCAGGAACAGAATGAGCTAAATGGTGTATTATTAAATCAGTTTCAGTTATCAGGTCACTTGAAAATACCTAATAATATTCTCATGTGAATGTATGCATTTACATAGTATTTATAAAGTTAGAGCAAAACAAATCATTTTTCTTACAGAGAAAGCATATTGAATCTAGAGGGGAAAAATGGGTTCTGAATGTCAACTGGTCCACTCTTATTTAAGGTATTATCTTCCATCTAGTGGTCAATTCTAGAACTGAAGGCATGAAAATCTAGGAAAAAACTGTGCATAAAAATGCCTCAAAAATCAATTTTCATGGACACTGAATTACAAACAAAAAGGCATACACACACACTTACCTCCATTTTCTGATTTTTCTGAAATACCAGACAGTTTCCAAAAGGCTTTCATTTGTTCTGCATTCCTATAAGAACAAATATCTTCTGATTAAGTGTCTAGTATAGGGGCTTAAAAATGGATGGGCTGTCAATAAATGAATACATTTTAAGTATTTCACCAAAACAACTATAGGGCTAAATTTACTTTCAGTAGTATCACCAGGTGATAATGTGTTTACGATGTAAGTAAATATAATGCTATATCTTAATGGAAGTTTACTAAATTACATAATTCTTCTAGTCAGAAAAAGGAACACTGAAAATATATGTGGTTCAGTACCTTCATTACTGAAGGACAACAAACTTTTATTAAACAGTGAAGAATCTAGAGTGTTAGTCTATACTAATTCAGGGAACAAGAGAGGTAGTTAAGAGATGAGAATTCCTAAACTATTAAGACAGGTGTTCTTACAGAGATGATAGATGCTATATTTACCCCTCTAAAATAATAAGTATTATTTTTTAGAAAAATAAAGTTGATGGAGGTTAAGTGATTTACCTGAGTCATTCAAGCCTGGGTGGTGAACGCAAACTTACTTTTGGATTGAGGCTATTGTGATTTGACTAGTAAGATGAACAGCATCTTTACACCACAGTTTTTATGGTAAAATGCACGAATACTTCTCAAGCTTACAACTTTGAAAATGGGTTCTACGAGTTGGAGCTTGCAGCAAAATTTAGCAGGAATTCAGAAAACTCAAATTTACCATATTGCAGGGGGAAGGGACTGCATATTTGTGACTCCTCCATCCACTGGTACCACCACCTGTATGTTTGAAAGCACGCTCGGTGCCACCATAGCTTCTGGGTTGTACTTATAATCCACTCTAAGATCTGTGGTGCCAGCACTACACTTCCAATATGTTGCAAGATTTAGAGGAGTGGACTGAATACCATTTGATGATACCTTTAAAGAGAAAAAGAAAAAAGTTAGTTTTTGCCCAAAAAGTAAACAAGTCATGCTGAAGACATGTATGCTTGAACACAAGAGTTCTCAGAATCAAAAATAATGATGGAAATATCGTTAGGCAGAAGAAAGCAGGCTTATCTCCGAGGAGTAAGAGCCAGTCTCACAGTGTGGATCTAGGACTACCCACATCAAAATGTCCATGACAGTTGTGCAAAATACACATTCCTATAGGTCCAAATGCAGAAAATCTGACTCAACTGCTTAGGTGCTAGGTCCAGAAAGAAGTATGTCATCAGGTGATTCTTCTTTATGCATGTTAACTTAAGAATCCCTTTCAACATCCAACATAGAATTCAATTCTAAGATTCCTTACGAATTAAAAGAATTTAAATTTAAAAAAAAAAAAAAAAAGGATAAGTCACCAGGCAATACTGCAAGTCTGGAATTAGAATACTTCCGTACTTCCAAGTGTTTAATTTTAATCACATGACCCCTAGTAAATGGTGCAATTCCTTCCCATTCTTTAGATCCTTGCTCAAGTTAACTCCTTTTTAATGAGACCTACCCTGATCACCCTGTTTAAATGTACACTAACATTGCATTTCCAGTTTTCCTTATTGTTTAACCAACTGAGCCACCCAGGAACCCCTCAGTTTTCCTTATTGTGAACACTATGCCTTTTTTCGAGATAACAAAACATACACACATACTACCTCTCAAGCTATTCCTGGCAATTAGCAAGCACTGAATAATAAACGTTTACTGAATTAAGAATAATGAATACCCGGAATAAACTCTAAGCCTACTTAAGTCGCACCACTTTCTATTCCTTATTTATTTCCCAAAAACGTAAGCCATATTAATACAATTACTCTATTAAAATTTCACATAATACATTAAGTATATGAAGTAGGAAATTTATCCCTTAGTATTCTTACTCCCCACTGTTAACACTGTAGGCACGCATGCACAGATCTCATTCTTTTTTTTTTAATTTTTTTTTTTAACGTTTATTTTTGAGACAGAGACAGAGCATGAACGGGGGAGGGTCAGAGAGAGAGGGAGACACAGAATCCGAAACAGGCTCCAGGCTCTGAGCAGTCAGCACAGAGCCTGACGCGGGGCTTGAACTCACGGACCGCAAGATCATGACCTGAGCCGAAGTCGGACGCTTTCACTGTCTTAGTTCACTTAGCATAATGGAATTGCTGCCTCCTCTATTTTTTTTTTTTTTTTGAAAAGTTTGAGAAAGATTGGTAATAATTCTTCGCTGAAAATTGGGCAGAATTCACCAGTGAGACAGTGTAGTCCTGGACTTCTGTTCCTGGAAGGTTTCTGATTACTGATACAGTCTCTTTACTAGTAACTGGTCTATTGAGATTTTCTACTTTATCAGGATTCAGTCTTAGAAGGCTGTCTGTTTCTAAAAATTTATTTCTTCTAGGGTGTTCAATCTGTTGGCATAAAATTGTTTGTGGTGGTTTCTCATGACCCTTTGTATTTGCATAGTATCAGTTGTAAGGTCTCCTCTCTTATTTCTGACTTTATTTGCACCCTCTCTGCTGTTTTCTTGGTGAATCTGATTAAAAGTTTATCAATTTTATTTATCTTTTCAAAGAACCAGCTTAGTTTTTTCTATTGTATTTTTAATTTGTATTTGATTTCTGCTCTTGGTTACTTAGTCCATTCCACTAACTGTGGCTTTATTCTTCATTTTCTTAGTTCTCCGAGGTGTAAAGGAAGTTTGAGATTTTTGTTTGCTGGGTAGGCATTTACTGACAGGAACATCCTTCTTAGCACTGTTTCTGCTACATCCAGTAATTTTGGCATATGTCCATTTTCATTGGTCTCAAGATAACTTTTCATTTCTCTTTTGATTTATTCATTGACCGAATGGTTGAGTAGCATATTGTTTAATTTCCACAAATTTTTTAATTTTCCAGTCTTCTTCCCATAATTGATTTCTAGTTTTGTATCATTTTGGTCAGAAAAGATGCATAACAGGATTTCTATCTTTTCAAATTTATTAATACTTGTTTTGTGGCCTAACCTATGATCTTCTCTAGAGATGTCCCATGTGCACTTGAAAAGGTATATACCGCTTTGGGATGGAATGTTCTGTATATATCTTTTAAGTCCATCTGGTCTATCATGTCATTTAAGAAAAACGTTTTCTTATTGATGTCTGTCTAGATGACGTAAGTAGGGTATTCCCCTTTTGTATTGCTCTCAATTTCTCCCTTTAAGGTCTCTTAAAAGGTAGATTTAGGTGCTCCACTGCTGGGTGCATAAATATTTACAAATATGACATCATCTTGGTGGAGTGACACCTTTATCACTATATAATGCCCTTTTCTCTTAATTCCTCTAATTTTAAAGTCTATTTTGTCCATTAACCTACCCCAGATTTTTTTTTTTTTAATGTTTATTTATTTTTGAGACAATGCGACAGACAGAGTGCAATCAATGGAGGGGCAGACAGAGGCAGACACAGAATCTGAAGCGGGCTCCAGGCACTGAGCTGTCAGCCCAGAGCCCGACACGGGGCTCGAATGCACAAACCCCAAGATCATGACCTGAGCCGAAGTTGGATGCTTAACCGACTGGGCCACTCAGGCACCCCTAACCTACCCCAGCTTTTGATTTCTATTTGTAAGGAGTACCTTTTCCATCCCTTCATTTTAACTCTGTCCTTTTTAAATTTTTTTTTAAGGTTTTATTTATTTTTGAGAGAGAGACAGAGCATGAGCAGGGGAGGGGCAGAAAGACGGGGAGACACAGAAACCGAAGCAGGCTCCAGGCTCTGAGCTGTCAGCACAGAGCCCGATACGGGGCTCGAACTCACGAAATGTGAGATCATGACCTGAGCCGAAGTCGGACGCTTAACTGACTGAGCCACCCAGGTGCCCCATTAACTCTGTCCTTCTATATGAAGTGAGTCTCTTATGCACAGCATTATACATGGGTGATACTTTTAATCCACTCATCCATTCTCTTTTGACTGGATAATTTAGTCCATTAATAGTTAATTATTGACAGGTATGTACTTACTGGCATCTTCTTAACTGTTTTCTGGCTGTTTTTGTAGTTCATCTGTTTGTTTGTTTTTTTTTCCACCTGTGCTCTTCCTTTGTGGTTTGATGACATTATTTACTGATATGCTTAAATTCCTTTTCATTTTTTATGTATCTACTATACATTTTTATTTTATAGTTACCATGAGGCTTACATATAACAACCTATATTTATAAGTATTTTAAGTTGAGAACTGAAAATTGAACATACTCTAAAGCTCTACATCATTTTTAGTCTCCCTCCACTGCACATTTTATGTTTTTAATGTTACATTAAAGCAATCATTTTAATGTTTATTTTTGAGAGACAGCACGAGCCAGGGGGAAGAGGGAGAGGGAGGGAGGGAGGGAGAGAGAGAGAGAGAGAGAGAGAGAGAGAGAGAGAGAATCCAAAGCAGGTTCCAGTCTCCAAGCTGTCAGCACAGAGCCTGACACAGGGCTCGAACCCACAAACCAGAGATCATGACCTGAAGCCAAAGTCAGAGGCTCAACCGAGCCACCCAGGTGCCCCTGAGATCACATTTTATATCTTTTTATCTAGCGTATCCCTTAACTGATTATTGTAGTTAATTTTACTACTCTTGTCTTTTAACCTTCATCCTACCTTTTATGAGTAATTAATCCATTCCACCTTTACCATATGTTTACCTTTACCAGTGAGATTTATACTTTTTTAATTAGTGCCCTTTACAGCTTAAAAAAGTTCCTTTAACATTTCTTGTGAGGCTGGTTTATTTGTAATAAACTTGTTTAGCTTTTGCTTTTCCAGAAAACTCTTTCTCTCTCCTTCAATTCTAAATGAAAACTTTCCAGGGTAGAGTATTCTTGGTTGGAGATTGTTTTCTTTGAGCACTTTGAATGTATCCTGATCTCCCCTTTCTGGCCTACAAGGTTTGTGCCAAAAAAAATCTGATAGCCTCAGCAGATATATAACAAGTGGTTTTTCTCTTGCTACTTTTAAGACCTCTTTACTTTTGACTTTTGATATTTTAATTACGTCTTGCAGAAGTCTCATTAAGATCATCTAATTTGGAACTGTCTGGGCTTCCTGGATCTGGATGTCTGTTTCCTTCCCCAGGTTAGGGAAGTTTTCAGCTATTAGGTCTTCAAGTTGTCTGTGCTTTTCTCTATCCTCTCCTTCTGGAACACCTGATGCAAAAGTTAGTCTGCTTGAGGTTGCCCCTTTAAGTCCCTTGAGCTTTCCTCACTTTTTTCATTCTTTTTGCAGCTCTGATTGGGTGAGTTACACTGTTCTGTCATCAAGTTCACCAATCTCTTCTGCTTCATCTAACCTGCTGTTGAACATCACTAGTTTTTCAGTCAGATATTATATTCTTTGGCACTGTAACTTCTATTTGATACTTTCTTATATTTTCTGTTTCTTTGTTAAAGTTCTCACTGGGTTCATCCATTGTTATCCTGAGTTGAATGAGCATCTTTATGACCATTACTTTGAATGTTCTATCAGGTAAATTACTTACCTCCACTTCATTAAGGCTTTTTTGTGAGGTTTTATCTTGTTCTTTGATTAGGAACATATTCTTTTGTTCCTTTATTTTGTTTGACCCTGTTTGCTTCTATGTATTAGATGAAACAGCCACCTCTCCCACTCTTGAAAGAGTGGCCTCATGCACATGACCCTTTATCATTCAACCTTGCCTTAGCTGTTGCTTGTCTTTTGAAACTTTGTGATTACCAAAGAAGCCTATTCTTTAATAGCTCCCAATTGTTGAGGGTGTGCCAAGACCTGTCAGCACCTAGACTGAGGCTGACTGGAAGCCAAACCATCAGGCAGCAGCTTTTAAAGAATGCAAATATAACTGGTCTTGCAAGACCACAAGCATGAGCCCTGCTGGCCACCAGACCAGGCAATCTAGAGGTGTCCCGCTAGGCAACAGTTGAAAAAATCAGGGCTCCAGACAAGTGTATAAGCTCCCTTCTGGGAGATACCACAAGCTGCAGCAAGGCAGGAGAGCACAAAAAATGACATCGCTCAGCCTATGTTCCTTGGATCATAAAAATGGCACCCTTTTAAAGAAAAAAAAATCTGGAGTTAATATATAATATATAAATTATTTTAATATACATATTAAAAATCTGGGGGGGGGTGTGCGTGTGTGTGTATGGCACCTGCCAGCTTTGGGCACTAAAGTGCTGCCTACTAGCTCCTCTATCCCTGGAGAGTATCTCAGTAGGCCTCTGCCTCACTGGCTCACACTTTATGATAAGCCAAATGACTCTCTTTTCTCGTATAATGTGGTCACCTTTTGATTGGCTGCTTCTGCATTGGTCCCTAGGCTGAGTGAGTCTGTGTGAGAATCCTCTAGAAGGTGTTTTTCAGATCACCATAGCCCTTGGGTATCATGGGCATGGGCTCTGGTGCTTTTCAAAGCCAGAAGTTTTAGGGGCTCTTCTCTCAGGTACAGATCTTAAAAGGTGGGATGCCTGATATGGGGTATGAACTTTTCACTTGGGAATTAGCTCCAGGTTTGTGAGTTCCCTTCTGATTGTGGGTCACAGTGCTGGTGGTAGAGTTTGTGGGGAGAATGGGTCTCACCCATCCTGCATGCTTCCATGTGATCCTCTGCTTGTTTGCTAATGTGATGGAGCTGTTCAGGTGGTTTTCAGGTCTTTTTCAGAGGAAACTGTTCCAGAGTAGCTGTAGCTTTGGTGTGTCCATAGGAGGAGGAGAGTTCCTGATCTTCCTATATTGCCATCTTCTAGCACCTCTCCAAGTCTGATAAGTTTAATTGTCAAAATTTTTCTGCATTAATATTCCTAACTGGATATTTAGAAAGCTACTAATCTTTGCATTAATTTTTAAACTCACCTCTTTATTAAAAACCCCTACAGCAAATAGTTTTTCAGTTCATTCTTAGGTTTCCAGGAATATAACATCACCTGTAAGTAACAGTAATTTGGGTTCCTCCTTCCACTATTACTGCTTTATTCTCTTGTGTAACTGTACTAACACATCCAGAAAAATCTCTTACAGTTAATGAGAATAATAGATGTCTTTGCTACTCCAGACTTTAACTGCTTTGTGTGTTTCATTATTAAGACTGATGTTGCTGGTCTTTTCAGGTTAAGGACATATTCATGTATATTTACTCAGTATTTGAATCAGGAATAGATAGTGAATTTGATCATCAATTTCCTTTGGCTTCAATGAGTTTCCTTGAATTCCTGGAAAAAAACTCATGAGGCCATAACACATTACTCATTTAATCTATGAGAATCTATTTATTAATATTTTAATTTATGATTTTTACAAGGATAGAACACTTACCTGATACTTTAATACATCTACATTATAATAAGAAGCAGCTGGATTTTGCTCTGATAGCTTCTTGAGGTAGACAGTAACAGCTTGCATGTTCATCCAAAAATCTTTTGTGTTAGAATCACACTGTGATGGATCACTGTATGCATAAGAAATATTTTTGTTATTTTATTTAACTTAGCTTCATCCTTTGCCTCTGTATTGTCATTTGGTGACCTGGGAAAGACTAGTAGAAATAAAACATAGCAGAAACTTGTTTGAAAAATGAGGTAACAGAAGAGAAGGACTTAACAAATACCATCACCAGCAAAAGCACAGAGCACAGAAGGCTGTTTAATCATAACTTTTGTATTGTCATCCAACTGAATTATTGCTTCAATGAAGCAGGAAAAATTTAACTTCACCTTCAAAACAAGAGTACACAAACCTGAACACAAGTTGAGCATTCGGAAGAATTTGCTCTAGTCTGCTGATGTGTTTCACCCTGAAACACAGCACAGCTGGAGATGGATTGCTAGTGAAGACTTTAATAATTCCACTCGGAAACGATATTGTCATGTCACCAGTGATCTTCACAATACACCTGAAATTAGGGATTTGGAAAATTTTAAGTGGTTTAAATAAGGCGCTTTAATAATTAAACTCCAAACACAAATGTAAGAGTAAAGATCACACCTCTTCACTTGTTTAGAAAAACCACCCCCTGGCTGTCCCTTAAGGAGACTGCTTCCCTGGTAACACCATCCTCAGTTGGAGCTATTTTTCACTGAAACCCCACTAAATACAAGGCCTGAGTGGCAGTGGGAGATGTCTTCCTAGCTCTTCATTGCCTCTTCCAACTCTATATTCCTACATCCTTCCTAAAAACCTCCAGCCTCCTATCTAACTCAGTATACTACTTGCTACTCCATCCCTTTCAACACTGTTGGATTTTTCAGAAAATGTTAGCTCTTTGCCTGCTGTCAGTCTGTCTCTGTATCATTACTCCTATCACAATCTGTAGTGATTTCAATATCCACACAGATAATGCTCTTGATATTTTGGGCACCTAGTTCTCAGCCCCTTGTCTCCAAACAATCCTGTCTTCCAGCCTACTTTGGTCACACAGCAGCCCCTCCATAATCTTGATTTCAGCCTCCCCATTCCTCTATTGGCCACTTCCTCTTTTCCCAACTTACTCTGTCTAGTACCACATCTCCAACAATTCTCACCAAAGCCTCCACAATCCATTGTTCCTACTACCTTTTCACTTCACTCATTCCTTCAAACCCTCCTTTCCTCCTAGGATTTCCTGGTCTATCATGCAATTCTACCTCTTCTCATACCTTCCTTCTTCTCCAGTCTGAAATATTCCTTCCCTCTACTCGCAGCCATCGACTTTAAATTTTACTGAGGAAATAAAATCAGTAAAGAACTTCCTTTCAGTCTCACAGGTGAATCCCTACTTGACTCTGTATCCATACCTTTCCTCCTGTTTCAAGAGATCAGTCTATGCACGTAAGGCCGATCTCACTGCTTCTGCACTGAAGCTCATCTGTTACATACCAGAGACTTCTCTAATGCAACTACCCTGTTTCCTGAAATTTCCTACCCAATTTTTTCCAAAAATATTGGATCTTCCCCTTAGTGTATAGACATGCTGAAATGTGTATCTTTAAAAAACTCACACTAAAATTAATAAAAACTTCCTCTGACTCTATCATTTCTCTATCACTACACCTCTCTGCTTTCACTTAGAGCAAAACATCCTAAATTTTTCTATACTTGCTCCTTCCAAATACAGCTGTATCTGCATCATCTCCTACTCTTGTTTTAGTTTTTATGTTTTATATTTGAGGGAGACAGACAGAGCACGAGCAGGGGAGGGGCAGAGAGAGAGGGACACACAGAATCTGAAGCAGGCTCCAGGCTCGGAACTGTCAGCACAGAGTCTGATGAGGGGCTCAAACTCAAGAGCAGGGAGATCATGACCTGAGCAGAAGTCAGATGCTTAACTGACTGAGCCACCCACATGCCCCCTCTTCTCCCACTCTTGAAAGCATGCTTAGAGGGAGTTCATCTCTACCACTTGACAAACTGCTCTTGTGAAGGTCACCAAGGACCTCCATAATGTCAAAATTCAATTTTTCTTGACGAATCAGAAGCATCCGATACAGCTTCACGCTATCCTTCACAAAAGGGTTTTATTCACCTAGTTTTGTTACACTGCTCTTCTGATTCTCTCCTCACCTCTCTTGTTGCTTGCAGTTTCAAACTCCTTTACCCAATCATTTTGTCTTTCTGTTTTCTAACCACTGAAGGGAGCCACAATCCTCATCAGATCTGTTCCGAGGCCTTGTGGTTTTAAGTATCGTATACAAGTTAATGACTACTAAGTATTTCATCTCTAGCCTATGACCTAGGCCCTGAAATCCAGTATCAAGTATTCAGTTGTCTTTTTTTTTTTTAGAGCGAGAAGGCACAAGTGAGCAAGAGGTAGAGGGAGAGAAAAGTGGGGCTTGAGCTCACCTGAAGCAGGGCTCAAGTCCCCCCAGTATGGGACTTAAACTCATGAACCAGGAGATCATGACGTGAGCCAAAGTCAAACGCTTAATGAGTGAGCCACCCAGGCACCCTGTATTCATTTGTTACCAACCGACTCCCTTAGCAAATCTTGACAACTCTGTTTTCAAAATGAATTCAATATCTCACTATTACTCATGACTTCCTCAGTTAATAACCTTATATAGGCCACCATCATCTCTCACCTGGACTGCTGCAGTTAACCTTCTCTCTTTCTGCTTGTACTCTGGCTCATTCTAGTTTATTCTCCATATGGCAGCCAGAGTATTCCTTCAAAACACTTATAAGTAACTTTCTCTGCTCAAAGACCTTCACTGGTTCCCACCCTGCTCAGAATAAACTCCACACTCTTTACCATGGTCTCTAATTCCCAACCTGATCTGGCCCCTCAAAGGACTCCTCTTTGACCACTCCCCTCCTTGCTAACTCCAACTTAGTGACATATTTCTGTTTCCTTTGAATATGTCAAGCACGCTTCTACCTCAGTCTTTTACACTCACTGGAATGCTCTTCCCTCAGACATCTGCATGGTTGGCTCCTCAATGTCTTTGACATAACATCAGAAATGCTTTCTCAGGGCACCTGTGTGGTTCAGTGGGTTAAGAGCCTGACTTTGGCTCAGGTCACAATTTCTCAGTTCATGAATTCGAGCCCCACATCAGGCTCACTACTGTCAGTGCAGAGCCTGCTTCGGATCCTCTGTACCCTGTCTCTCTCTGTCCATCCCGTGCTCGTGCTCTCTCAAAAATATTTTTTTTCTAGGGGCACCTGGGTGGCTCAATAAGTTGAGCATCCGACTTCCACTCAGGTCATGATCTCACATTTCCTGAGTTTGAGCCCCGAGTCGGGCTCTGTGCTGACAGCTCAGGACCTGGTTCCTGCTTCAGATTCTGTGACTCCCTCTTTCTCTGCCCCTCCCCCCCTCATACTCTGTCTCTCTCTCAAAAATAAAAAAAATTAACAAAAATTTAAAAATATATTTTTTCAAAAAGAAAGTCTTTCTCTGATCATAAAAAGAAAAAAAAAATTAGTTTGGTGCCTGGGTGGCTCAGTCCATTAAGCTTGACTCTTGATTTTGGCGCAGGACATGATCTCACAGTTTGTAGGTTCAAGTCCTGTGTCAGGCTCTGTGCTGACAATGTGGAGACTGCTTGGGATTCTCTCTCCCTCTCTCTCTCTCTGCTCCTCCCCTGCTCATGCACACTCTATCTAAATAAACTGGGGGTGGGGGGGATCCCCACCAAAACACTTTCTTAAAAGAAGGAGGTTAAACCAATTCTACAAGAGTCTCATAAATGAAACATACATTTTAGGTCTCTCCTGCAAACATTACACATTCCCCAAAGATACACATTAAGCCAATATTCAAAGTTCTATCCCACTTCTAGGTCAGCTGCCATCATCCTGATCTTACAGATATATCACACAGCAGATGGCGCACAAAGCTTGGGCAAGAATGCAAATAAACTGGGGAGAAAAGCCATCACCACTGCTGATTATAGTGATTTGTTTTGTTTTGTTTTGTTTGGAAAGACAATTGCTAAATGACTATATTTGATAGCAAAAAAAACAAAAAAACAAAAAACCAGGTAAATAAATAATAGAAAACTCTAACCTATAGAGAATCAAAATGTAACTCTGCAAATATATTACCAAGCCCCCTCCCCCCAAACACACACACACACACACACTTTTTTAAAACTAACTTGGTAGGGTCTGCTCCTTTAAAATAGGCATTAACAGATTCTGTAAGGGCAACTGCCACAGGTAAGGTGTCCTGATTTCCAAGGCTGACAGGGCTGGGACCTCGTGACACACCTAGAATACATATGCAATTTATTTGTTAAATCCTATAGAAAGAGCTTTATAAAATATCAAGACAGGTAAAGTCACAAGGTTAGCTTGTCACAAATGACTCTATTATTGGTTCCATTGATGGCCCAGGTATAAATCTGGAGGTTAAAAAATAGGGCAGAAAACAAATTGAAACATAATACAGAGGACAAAAAAAATCACGAAAACATGTTTTACTGACTTTTCTTTTAAATGAAATGACACTAAACGCTTGGGTTAAGGAGTGTCAGAAGGAAAAAGCCCTTCACCTGAAGAACAAAACTACTAAAATATGTTTTCACAACCATTCAGATGCTAAATTGTTTCAAGTTCTACCACTCAAATACTTCAGGGCATTAAGCTGGATTTTTGTGTTTCAGCTATTTCCATCCGTCAGCTATTTCTAACTGAATAACATAATGTTTCGGACACTACTCACTAGAATTCTTTTACCTCTTTGTCTAATGCATACATTATATTCCCATATATTCCCATTATCTTGATAAACAGGACAAATAATGTTAATTTTAAACGTTCCTGACACAAAGTTCACTTAAATAATATAAAGATCAGTTATTTTAAAGCATAATAAAATGTAAACAAATTTAATCTATGCATGTATTCAGGTTTTTTTAACCTAAGCAAACTTTCTAGTTTATTTCATTATAGAAAAATCCCTCAAAGCAGTTCATTGTCTTTCTTGACAAATGTACACTTCCCACTCTTCTCATGTGGTAAGGTTACCACAATGGCTAGTGACTGGAAAGTGGAGCATTTTATTTAATATACAATAAATGATGCAATTTTATATTTTAAAAAAGGCCAATAGCATAGATTATTCAGATTTTCTCATAAGAATAAATAATCTAGGTCAACGTAGCTCTGAAATTTGAATGTATGCCTTTCTATAAATATTACACAATGCTCATAGCCACCAGATAGTTC